TGTCGTCAGGGATGAATTAATTTAGGATTTATTCCTTTAACTGTTTTTACTTTGCGGTTCTACTTTTTGAATGCAAAAAAGTTTACCAGAATTATGGGATATCATACTGTGTAATAACTGTGTCTGCTAAACACTGTTGTTAGCTTAAGATTCAGGATTTTTCCTTTTACTGCTGTTGCTGATGAAGTATAAAGTTTAAAATTATTTCACTTTTGTTAAAAAACCGTGAAAGTTTGCGGTTTTGAGACGTATTTCCGATAGGGATTGCGCAACCGGATCAAGTTTCCATGGCCAACATGCTGATGAAGCCTGGCAGACTGTAGCAACGTAAAAGTCCAATTATGTGTCAAATCTTTCATCCTTTTTTTCTCACACTAACCGATAACATCAGTATATCTGAGTATCAATTGGTAAATCATGGTTGGGCAGTATTGGAAATCAATGAGGTACCGGAAATTTTCCAATAATTTTGTTCACACGGCCACTAAACTGGTTTCATTTTAAGGAGGGGAAAACAAACACGCATATATAAGCTGCATACTATAAAATAATGTTGAATTTTTTGAATAAAAGTTAAGAGTAATCAGAGGATAAGGTTTAGTGACATAGGACGTCTATGGTTTCCGCGTGGGATCAGTTATGTTTCAGTCAGTAAGTTTAAACGGTTTCTGTTGAAGAGCGGAAGATGGTCTAGACTAATGTCGTTAAGTAATGCCTTCAGAGGAAGTTATACCACGCCAGTAAATTACATAAAACTGTTGTGCATAGTTTTTTGTCCTTTTATCCATAATGATAAAATAAATAATGCAACTCCTTAGACAGTTTAACAGAAAAAAATCCTAAGCTTAATAATGATTCCGACAATTTTAACTCCGACAATGACCACTTAACAATACTTAAGACTTGACTATGGAAAATTGATACGGCTATAATTTTCAACAGAAAATACGGGTTCAGTTTTTGTTCTCTTGCGAAAAGCCGCATCAGGGAAGCAGAAAGAAAGTATGTTCAAAGCAGTACTTGGGATACTAAGGTTGTCGTTA